TGGCTTTTGGAGTCCTCATTTATCCCGAGTTTTCATTTATCCATTCATCTGTTTGACTATAAATCATCATCTTCGTCACCATCATCATCATTATGATTACTATTGTGATAATTTTTACTATCATTGTTGTTATTCATATTCAAATTTCAATATAACATAAGTGGTTAATTTGTCATTGAAATGAGACCATGGAATCAGTCTATGGCACAACATATGAAAGTCGACAATTCAGAATGATAATAACAATGTTGCTGCCATAGGTAGTAAATGAAACGTGGCGTTAATGTCCGCAGAGTTACCACACTACAAATCGACAATGGAACGATGATTTGACCAACGAATCAGACTAGTGAAGAAATTTTCAGACGTTTAGGTATCGTTACCGTCTGTAGTAATCGGATAGATAACCATTACCCTCTCCCATTCCTCTTCAAGTAATGTGAAGTTAAATGAAAAAACAATATTGGGATGAATTTCGTATTCATAATTTCTTTGACAAAAAATAAGAATGAAACCGTTGCAATTAGATTATCATTTTGGGGAGGTTATTTATAAAAAAAAATATATCAATTCAACCACCTATCTATCTATTAATTAATCTATTCATTCGTTTATTGTTTTTTTTTTTTATACTACAGAGCTATTACCTTTATAACATTGCTCTTTACCCTCCCAAGAATTAGCGTCATCACCTTCCCGGGGCCAAATTACCCACCAGTTTGAGAACCACTGAGTCGATAGCACAATCCTCAATGTTCTGGTAAACGTGATTTATACCACACCCGCAGACAAATGAAAAATCAATAATGAAAAAGACGCGGCCACGAAGACACGAATAAATGAAACGTGGCGTCAATCACCGCAGAGTAACCACAATCACACAAGGCATTTCGACAATGGAATAATAATTATTATGGGTTAATAAAAATATCGATGGTAATGGTAATGGTAATCTTACTACGAATGATTAAGATAATGCTAATAATGACTGTATAAATAAAATAGTAATAATAATGATAGAGACGATATCAACAACAACAATAATAATAATAATTTTAATCATAATAACAATAATAATAGTGCGAGGGATAATGATAATATTAACAATAATAATAATACAATAACACTAATAATATCAATCATCATAACAAAAATATGAATGACAATAACAATGTCAATTATAATAGTAATAAAGATAATGATAATGATAATGATAATGATAATAATAATAATATCCTTTCTATCAAGCAGTCAACCATGTAACGTAACGGATTGAAATGGTAATGTATCGGTCATGTCAAAATTATATTTTGAACGAATAGGAATGGGACATTTTTGCTACACAGACGAAATTTCTCCATTTGCATATTTTTGTCGTTTTATGCATTTCAGTCCTCCGACTTAGTGGCATAAGGGCACGAAATAGACATTCTGGGTGAGAAAAGGTCGAAAGAAGAGGGAAGGAGAAAATGGAAACGAAGGAAACAGTGAAACGGAGATGAAAAAAACGGAAAAAAGGAGACTTTGATGGTAATGATGATGATATGGCAAGATAATGATAATGATATATATATGATGATGATAATGTAAGTGGTAATAGTACTAAACAGTCGAGGAAGAAGAAGAGAAGAAGGAGGAGGTGGAGGAGGAGAATGAGAATGAGAAGGAGGAGGAAAAGAAAAAGGAAGAATAAGAAGAAGCAAGGGTAGAATGGAATGAACGGAAATAACTCAAGGGAGAGAGAAAAAAAATCAGAAAAAGCGACGAAGCTCCTCGCTCAAAGAGTCCTCGCCACACGGAATGCAAGAGGGACACGAACACAGCATAAATTCGGGCCATTTGCCTTCATCTTTTCTACTTGTCACTATCTCGCTTAATGCCTTTCCACGCGTTCTTTTATTTCTTTTATCACAATTCACTTGATTTTGATATCATTATCATTATTATTATAATCATCCTTTTCATCACTATTATCATTATTGTTATCTTCGAATCATTATCATAATCATCATTATCACCATTCATGTTATTATAATCATCGTCACCGTCATGACCATCCTTATCATTACTTAGTAAAAACAGAGGTTGATAACTCAGTATCATTTTTCTCTATATTGTCTTTACATTTCTCTCTCTCTCTCTCTCTCATTTTCTCTCTTTCTCTTGCCTCTCTCTCTCTCTCTCTCTCTCTCTCTCTCTCTCTCTCTCTCTCTCTCTCTCTCTCTCTCTCCTCTTGCCTCTCTCTCTCTCTTTCTCTTGCCTCTCTCTCTCTCTCTTTCTCTTGCCTCTCTCTCTCTCTCTTTCTCTTGCCTCTCTCTCTCTCTTTCTCTTGCCTCTCTCTCTCTCTTTCTCTTGCCTCTCTCTCTCTCTCATTTTCTCTCTTTCTCTTGCCTCTCTCTCTCTCTCTCTCTCTCTCTCTCTCTCTCTCTCTCTCTCTCTCTCTCTCTCTCTCCTCTTGCCTCTCTCTCTCTTTCTCTTGCCTCTCTCTCTCTCTTTCTCTTGCCCCCCTCTCTCTCTTTCTCTTGCCCCCCTCTCTCTCTTTCTCTTGCCTCTCTCTCTCTCTTTCTCTTGCCTCTCTCTCTCTCTCTCTCTCTTGCCTCTCTCTATCTCTCTCTTGCCTCTCTCTCTCTCTCTCTCTTTCTCTTGCCTCTCTCTCTCTCTCTCTCTTTCTCTTGCCTCTCTCTCTCTCTCTCCTCTTGCCTCTCTCTCTCTCTTTCTCTTGCCTCTCTCTCTCTCTCTTTCTCTTGCCTCTCTCTCTCTCTCTCTCTCTCTTCTCTTGCCTCTCTCTCTCTCTCTCTCTCTCTCTTTCTCTTGCCTCTCTCTCTCTCTCTCTCTCTCTCTTTCTCTTGCCTCTCTCTCTCTCTCTCTCTCTCTTTCTCTTGCCTCTCTCTCTCTCTCTTTCTCTTGCCCCTCTCTCTCTCTCTCTCTCTCTCTCTCTTTCTCTTGCCTCTTTCTCTCTCTCTCTGTCTCTCTCTCTCTCTTTCTCTTGCCTCTCTCTCTCTCTTTCTCTTGCCTCTCTCTCTCTCTCTCTTTCTCTTGCCTCTCTCTCTCTCTCTGTCTCTCTTTCTCTTGCCTCTCTCTCTCTCTGTCTCTCTTTCTCTTGCCTCTCTCTCTCTCTCTCTCTCTTTCTCTTGCCTCTCTCTCTCTCTCTCTTGCCTCTCTCTCTCTCTCTCTCTCTCTCTTTCTCCTGTCTCTCTCTCTCTCTCTTTCACTTGCCTCTCTCCCTGTCTCTCTTTCTCTTCTCTCTCTCTCTCTTTCTCTTGCCTCTCTCTCTCTCTCTCTCTCTCTCTCTCTCTCTCTCTCTCTTTCTCTTGCCTCTCTCTCTCTCTTTCTCTTGCCTCTCTCTCTCTCTTTCTCTTGCCTCTCTCTCTCTCTTTCTCTTGCCTCTCTCTCTCTCTCTCTCTCTCTTTCTCTTGCCTCTCTCTCTCTCTCTGTCTCTCTTTCTCTTGCCTCTCTCTCTCTCTGTCTCTCTTTCTCTTGCCTCTCTCTCTCTCTCTCTTTCTCTTGCCTCTCTCTCTCTCTCTCTCTTTCTCCTGTCTCTCTCTCTCTCTCCTTCACTTGCCTCTCTCCCTGTCTCTCTTTCTCTTGTCTCTCTCTCTCTCTCTCTCTCTCTCTCTCTCTCTCTCTCTCTCTCTCTTTCTCTTTCTCTTGTCTCTCTCTCTCTCTCTCTTTCTCTTGCCTCTCTCTCTCTCTCTCTCTCTCTCTTGCCTCTCTCTCTCTCTCTCTCTTCTCTTGACTCTCTCTCTCTCTATCTCTTTTGACTATCTCTCTCTCTATCTCTTTTGACTATCTCTCTCTCTATCTCTTTTGACTCTCTCTCTCTCTATCTCTATCTCTCTTGACTCTCTCTCTATCTCTCTTGATTCTCTCTCTCTCTATCTCTCTTGACTCTCTCTCTCTCTATCTCTCTTGACTCTCTCTCTCTCTATCTCTTTTGACTCTCTCTATCTCTCTTGACCCTCTCTCTCTCTATCTCTCTTGACTCTCTCTCTCTCTATCTCTCTTGACTCTCTCTCTCTCTATCTCTCTTGACTCTCTCTCTCTCTATCTCTCTTGACTCTCTCTCTCTCTATCTCTCTTGACTCTCTCTCTCTCTATCTCTCTTGACTCTCTCTCTCTCTATCTCTTTTGACTCTCTCTATCTCTCTTGACCCTCTCTCTCTCTATCTCTCTTGACTCTCTCTCTCTCTATCTCTCTTGACTCTCTCTCTCTCTATCTCTCTTGACTCTCTCTCTCTCTCTATCTCTCTTGACTCTCTCTCTCTCTATCTCTCTTGACTCTCTCTCTCTCTATGTCTCTTGACTCTCTCTCTCTCTATCTCTCTTGACTCTCTCTCTCTCTATCTCTCTTGACTCTCTCTCTCTCTTGACGCTCTTTTTCTCTTGACACACACTCACTCACTCTCTCTCTCTCTCTCTTTTACACGCACTGAACCAGGCTTACATGCATGCTCGAACACTCACGCACATGCAGTCACTCCCTCCCTCTCTAACACTGTCTGTCTGTCTGACTAACTCTGAATGTCTATTTGTCTGTCTGTCTATCGGTCTGACTGACTGACTGACTGACTGACTAACTGTCTGAATGCCTGTCTAACTGACTGACTGACACTCTTACCCCCCCCCCCCTCCTACCCCCCCGGATCCACTGCCCACGCCAGGCACCACCAACAAGTTGCCCCGCGACCCAATCTGAAGACGGACCAAGCGAGAGAGAAACAAAAAGATTTTCCGCAGACAGTAATTGGCACGCATAGGGGGGGCGGGGCCGG